GCTTCAACAATATGATAAAGGTTTTTGGTCTGATTAGGAACAAAACCATAGAGATTTTTTTTTTAAACTTACAATAGAACATACATTCTCTCACTGATTTTTCTTTTCTTTTTTTAAATATGAAATACAGCTGTTTTATCTTCAGGGAGACAGCAGCAGCCTGGGAAGTTTCATATCAGGGAGCAGGGAATCTAACAGTCCTGAGAGGCCACTACCCCATCTGTAGCCCACTGGGCTGCCAGTCTCTAGATGTGTGGTAAGGGGCTTAGAAACTTCAGTAGCCTGAGCTTGAGATGGGTCTCCCAGGATATTCATACGCTCTGGTATAAAGATGGGGGATTTCAAGCTTTCGGTTTTGTGGCAAGTAAGTGGCAAACCCTAAGAACACTGGCTGAAGGTGAGGCTTTCTGCTCCTGATTTGGAGTTGGAGCTCTTAAGGCTTCCTGGCTCCAAAGCAGTCCATAAAATGTAGCCCCCTGTGGCTCAGACCCTGCAAGATCAGACTCTGGAATGCCCATCAGGTGAACTGGTAGGTAACCAGGCAGGCTTCTGTTTTTTGGGGTTTTGTTTTTGGTTTGTTTTGCAAAAGTTTGTTGCAACAGTGGCACCTTTTTTGAAACATTTTATTTTGATGTATTGGCATTTTCTGACAAAATCCTCTTCATTTGAAAATTCTTGACCAGCTGTAATGCTTCACATGATGCCTACATAATTACCAAATAAAGACAGAGACTGGGTGAGGGCTATGTAAAAAGAGGTAACATCTTCTATCTAGTTTCTGATCCACTTCGCCCATGTACATTACAGTAACCACCACACAACTGATACTAATTGGCAAAATCAGCAGAAAGAGGACGAAGACTAGCTAAATGTAGTGAGAGAAATAAACCGTGTCCTTCTCTGAACTGATCTCTCAATCTAAATCTGATTTGTAAGCATATTAACAAGGTGGCATAGGGATGTTTTCACTGCCTATGATGCATCTTTTCTGTGTATAAAAATGAAGGCTTTAGTCTTCAGGGCTGATGCCCTAACTTTCTACAACCACTAAATACACTGAAAGAAAAACCTGTTCTGATCAAAATAATTCCTTTCCTTGTCTTGTTTCTCTCAGCTCTTCATGTTCTAGAGGGTAAATGTACCTAGGTAGACAGAAACTTTCCTTAGACCGATATTCACCTTCTTTATGTGTATGCTTCTGTGGCCCCTTCTATATGTTACGTTTGTGCCATGAAAGGTTCTTATGTGCATCTGATTTAAGGCAGCATAAAATGTCAGGTGAGCCATAAACATGTTCCCCTTGATGGCCATTTATACACAACTTTTTGTCCTGAGACGCACTGGAGATCTGGCAGGTCAGAGCAGACTCGATTAATTGAGTCTGCTCCACACGTGAGCTAACGCGCACTGTGTTGTGCCACATGTAGTTGTATAAACAGTGAAGTGTGCATGAGCGCACAGAAAATGGCAGTGGCGTGCTATTGAACTAAAACGCCTCTGATTGTGTTTTAGTTCAAAAGCGCACAGCTGCCACTTTCTCAGCGCTGATGCACATTTCGCTGCTTATTCAACTGTGTGCGCTGCAACGCTGGGCACTTTTAAAAGCACCTGGTGCTGCAGGTCAAGCATGTGTACAAATGTCCATAATGTAGAATGCTTTTATGGCTGCTTTGTATGGTTCCTTTAAATCTAATATATGGCTGGGATGGACAGTCAGCTGATTATTGGTCCTGGGCCAAGACCACACTGGGGTTTAGAACTGGCCCTGGTGTAGGGTTGAGTGCAGCTGGAGGCTGGGGGAGGGAAAGGTGTGGCCAAAGGGCTTCACTTGCTGAGGACTCTAAACCCAGGGCTGCCAGGAGCCTCTGATCCCCTGTGCATGGTTGCCTACCCAGAGCTGCTAAGTGTGGTGTTTTGACAATCAGCTGATTGTCACCCCCAGCCCAGCTCACTGGTACAGGAGCTCAGGATTGTGATCGTGGGCTCCCCTTGCACTAGCAAGTAGTAATTGCACAATGGGATCTGACCCCAACATTGTGCCTCCTGCCATGCTACACATGGCACAAATTGTTGGGATCAGGGATCAGATCCCATCTTGCCATTAAAGGAATATATACCAGGAACCTATGTTATTTACTGTGTAGGTATGACACATGAATATCCACTAAATTTAATTGCAAGAGCTAAAGATTATCTATATATTTCATTATATATCATTATATTTCCTTTCTTACATGCAACAGGTAAAATAAGCCTTATTTTGAGATTATAGATATATAGCTCTCTATAGATCTATACGAGAGAGAAAAAGAGAGACATTTGAGATTTCTCTCTCTCACTCTTCTCTGCCCCCCCTCTCAAAATGAGGCCAATTTCACCTGTTGCATGTAAAAAATGAAATACCATTGAGAAGTCCAAAGTGGGAGGTTCACACAGGCATAGGAATGCTTGGAACAAAATAATTTTTTATTCTACTTATCCTATTGATATGGAATACAAAAATATCCCTAGAGATATACATAAAGATTCTGTCCAAATCTCAAAGCCCCTTGCCATAAAATTGAAAAGGAAAAGTCGGATGTGTGACATACTGCATGGCAGCCAAGCTACCCTTTCTAGCTAACATAAATTTACGGTTGGTGGGAAATATTTTTTTTCCTTTCTGTTTTATTTTCACTAAAAATGTTCATTTCATTAGTATACATTTCCTTCCTCATTTTATTGAATTTCACAGAACAAAAGTAAAAGCAGTTGATCAAAGCACAGTGCAAATTAAATGCTCATCACTCATCTTGACTTTCGGGGTCTGTTTCCTATTCTCATTAGAGCTCCAGACTGTTCCCTAAAGATCAAGAAGCAAGTTCTTTGAGGCAGGCAGAATTGTACAGTATTTGCATTTTAAATATTGGATTTAAAAGCACACAAACAGTTTTTCAGATTTCATTTTGAAAAGGAAGGCTGATTTACACTGGATATTAGAAAGAAAAGTTTTTTATGATGCGTGCGTCCAGGGTATGGAACAAACTCTCTCCAGAGGCGGTGCAAGCACCTACTCTGGATTCCTTCAAAAAACAGCTGGATTTATTTCTTGCTGGGGTCACTTGATCCCGGCTGACTTCCCGCCTATGGTGGTGGGGGGGCTGGACCTGATGATCTCTTGAGGTCTCTTCCAGGCCCTAATGTCTATGAAATCTATGAAATTTTGTTTTTAGAAGGCTGCGAAGTCATAGATCTTAAGAACTAAAGGGACTGTTAAATTATCTACGTTGACTTTCTTTATAATAAAGGCCAAAAAATTCACCTAGTAAAGCCTGTGTTGAGCCCAGAAATGTACCTATGATGAGTAATACATTTTTTTCAGATTTTTACTGCAGAAGGATTAAAAAGTAAATCTTGTTAATTTTTTATGCAATGCACATAGAGATTTACATACAAATGCTAGTTGGTCTGGGAGCCAACTTTGGGGTTTTTTGTAGATTATTTTTCTTTCCTTATATCTTTTCATCCTTCATCATCATAGGTTTCAGTGATAGTTTTCTTCTGATCTCACCAAATTCATCTTTCATGAACAGTATTTTGCTATTGTTTCTCTAGTACATCTAGCCTCTCTCTGTCTCTCTCAAATGCAGTTATAAGACCTATTATTTTTCCGTAATTAAATTATGTTAATTTAATTTACTGGGCAGCTTGTGTTCGTTCTTACATAGGCTGGACTTCCCCTCGTCTTCCTTTGCCCAAATGCATACGTGTGCATACATTCCATTTAATGTGGGTTTGGTTGAGGTTCCTTGAAACAGAGATCTGTTTTCACTATTTACTGTCACTATGACAGGGCATCACTCTTAAAACAGCCCTTCAATAGGATAGGCATAATTCTACAAACAGCAGCTGTCCTCTGCAGAGTCTTCACTAAAGCCCATGGAAGGCTGCTGGATATGGTAGTGGAAACCCACTATAGAATCAACCCTGGAGTAGTCTTTTTTTTAGGTAAATAGCTTATTTTAAGGATGAATCATATTGGTAAAGGAATGAGGAATCAAACTTATACTTTTCAAGAAATGGCCATTTCTCATAATGCTCTGATGCTAAATTTCATAACAAAATGTACAAATGTATCTCATTGGAGGACCAGTGTGTTTGAATTGCTTTGAAAGAAATGTTGTTTCTTACCCAAAACAGACATTTAAAGATTCCAACAGTAGGAGACTAATTTTGCCTTTCTCTTCAGGTGTGGTAAGAGAATAAAACATAGTATCTGTATGATCTGTAAAATTATACTGTTAAATTTATTTCCACTGAACCACACATACTTCCAACAGCATGAGTAGATTGCAGTAAGTGACTGTCAGTTCTAAACACTAATGCACTTCAGTACTCTTGTAGCTTTAGAAGTGGCTGAACTTCCATTGACCCTTCCTACAGTCTTTGAGTACGGTAGGAATATGGTGTTAATCAGAACCACTAAAGGTATAACATTTGGAATAGTAGGAATAAGACCTAAATATGAAGTGCACGGTTCATATCTCTCTAGGAAATTCATGTTTTGATATCCTTATATATCACTTCAGTATATATAGTAGAGACTAAAGCTTTAGTTCTAGGAAAACAATCAATTCCCTAGACTTAAAAGAAGCACAGTTTCCACATAAAGACTTTTTAGACAGTTAGTGTTCTTTTTCTTCTATTTTTCTTCTTTTTTAACCCCCCCCCCCCCCCCCCCCCCCCCCCTGGATCTTAATGCCAGTACAAAATAGATGTATACATAGTCTATGCTGGTGTACTTGTGCAGTAGGGCAGGAAATAAGAGGAGGATATATAAATGATGGATTCCTAAAAATAACCGTAAAGCATGAGTGGAGAACAATAAACTATTTTTACTTGCATGAATGGTTGTAGTAGTGTAAACAGAAGATAAAGCATGTACAGTACCCAAAAGTAGGATTACTCCCTGTTAGATTGCATTATCTAGGAAGTAGAACTTGTGTGTTTGTTTTTTCTAGGTTCAAGAAGGCGTTCGAGTCAGAGCCAACGTTACAGTCGGGAATTAATTATGCAGTACTCCTACTGGCAGCTGGATACCAGTTTGATAGTTCTTTTGAGCTGCGGAAAGTTGGTAATTATGACTTGCTGTTTCATAGTCCAATCAAATTCAAGTAAAAATGACATTGCCCAGCATGTAGGGAGTAACTGAACACCAGGGCTAGGGACAGAAAATAACATACACACACTGGCATAAGTGATAGGAAACTGGTTTAAATCTGTAACACAACAGAAGTTCAGTGCACATAAAGGTTAAGTACAAACAGTCATAACGCCTGAGGTTGAATCAATTCAATTTTTGCAGGTTAGTATGAGCTGCATAGATTGAACTAATAAGTAAGTGAACAGACACATTCACTTTTGATTCCGGAAATGCAGCCTCATGCTTACAGTGGCTTAGGCCAGAAGCTGGGGGGCACTAGAGCACATCTGCCAGCCACTGCCAAAGGGAAGGGAGGGAAGCTGGAAGAGAAGCGCTCTGAGGCTTCCCCTTTCCCTGCTCAAGTGGACAGAGGTGGTATGTCCAGGCCCTGGCGCAGAGTATGATGGAGGGAGGGGTTTAAACCCCCACCCTGACCTGCACTGACTCTGGGGTGGGGGAGAAGGGGAGAAGCCCCTGCCAGGCTTTTCCCCACTCAAGTGGAGGGGCTAGGGTCCAGCCCCAGCTGGCTTGCTCAGGCAGAGGGGGAGGAAGGGGGTTTTAAGCTCCCTCCCTGGCCTGCACAGGACCCTAGCTGGGGTCTGCCTGGTGGGGGCAAAGCAGCTTCTCTCTAGATGGGGGAAAAGCTTGGTAGGGGCTGCTTTGCCTTGCCAGGCAGACTCCAGCTGGGGTCCGTACCCAGGTCCCTTCCCCGCCACTTCTCAGCCAGCTGGAGCAGCGATAGTGCTCCAGCTAGGGAGCAAAGGGATGGGGTCACACCTGCTCCAGATAAAACTGGATGGATTTAGTATCAGACTTAACTGGTTTAGGTTAAATCACTTCATTGAACTTCTGTCCCAGATCCCCTCCAGATTCAAGTTAACGCACAGTCCGTCAGCAGCCCAGGATGCTTTGCACTTCCCCTGCAAACCCTGCTTCGCAGGGTGGGCGAACCAGCCTTGGCCCAGGCTGTCTGCTCTAGTACTCTCTGGCTTCTGGCCTGGGCCACTTCAGGCACATGGCTGCATTTCTGGAATAAAAAGTGAATGCCTGTTCACTTGTTTATCGGTTCAATCTTAGAGTAACCTGTAAAGATTGAATTGATTCAGCCATGGGCTTTTTGACTATCTGTACTTAAGCTCAGGTGACTTTCTCCATAAAAAAATTGGCATCAAGTCTGCCTGGTAATGCCGAGTTTATTATTCTAATAGAGACTAGGCACACTTCTCCCTCGCTCGCTGGACTTGCAAAGGGGTATAGAAGTCTCATGTGTTTATTTCTGTGGTGACCTCTTTGGAATGAAGTACCAATGAGACTGTTAATCCCTGATGGGAGTTCTGTCCCAATCATCAGTATCGTATGAAAGTTGTGATAATACAGAGCAATGGAAAAAATGAATAAAGTTATCCTAGCAATAGGGAAAAATTGCTTTTGACTTCCATTTGAGACAATCAGAGAATTGGGAGGTTGAATGTTTAGTTGCTTCTTTCTTTGGACAGGGTTGGGTTTATATACCCATACACTGTGATCAGATATAATAAAGTATGTAAATTCAGGGCCAGTTTGATATTACTTGTCTAAGAGGTATCTATGGCCCCTGACAGACATTCACTTAAAAGCATGATGGAATCTGATCTCTGATTCCCAACAGTCATGCCCCCTGCCATGCTGCATGTGTAAGTCACGAGGTACTATTGTGAGATTTGGGAATCAGAACCCAATCATGTGAAGTTTCCAGTGCAGGGGGAGCCTGGTATTGTGAAAACTGTAATAATACAGAGCATGATAATGATCCTGGGCTCCCCTTGCATTGGCAGAGTGGGTGCCCAACAATCAGCTGGGTCTGGGAACCTATGGGGTTGTTCAAACCCATCAGCTGGCAGGGACTGGCCAAGGATTCAAGTCCCACAGCAGTCCCTGCCAGTAGATAATTAGCTGATGCTGACAGCTCTGGGGTTTGAGTCCCAGGGTTACTTCGATTTCCCAGCATCTGGCAGGGGCCTAGCACACATCTCCTGGGGCCTGATCCCCCAGAGCAGTCCCTGCCAGCCAGTTGTAGATCAGAGTTGTTCCCAGACTTGGACCCCAGTGCAGTCCTGATCAGCTGATCATCGGTCAGCTCCAGGGACCATAGAATGTCAACCCAATCATCTGATAGTAAGTTGGTAAGGACTGCCCTGGAGCTCAAAACCCCAGTGAGGTTCCTCCCAGATGACTGATGATTCAGGAGAGGGTACCAGGGTTTGAGCCTCAGGACCACCTGGATCAGATGTCAGCTAGCTGGGATTGCCATAGGGCTCAGTCCCCAGGAGGTCTGTGCCAGCTGATGACCAGGGGTTTGATCCTTGGGGTTTGAGCCCTGCGGCCATCCGTCTCCCAGCAGTTGTCAGGGACCACTCCGTTATTTGAATCCCAGGACGTTCCTGCCAGTCGACAGTCAGCTTTTTGGGACTGCCACAGGACTGGACCTGGGGTATGTACCTGTATGGCACACCACATATTCAAGCTATGGCACTATGCAAACCAGTGACAAAAATATTACATGTTTTTCAAGTGATATATTTGTGGCTGGCTTCTGATTTTTATGGTGCCACAAATTCTGTGAACATGTGACTAGTTGCTGTTTCTGGCACAATTTAACACCTTAATCTCACCAAAAATATAATGTTTGGAAAACCCAAATGGCATGTATAGTCTCTGTAAGTGGCAGTTTTCCAGTGAATCCTGTTAATCAGTGTGGATAATGGAGACATCCAGTTGGAACATTCAGCCAGGAACTAACTTTCAAATCCTTTTTAATGGAACATACCTGATACGTCACCCTAGGAAATAAGAAAGTGAATAGAAACCTTTGATAGAAAGTGAAACTTGATATGACAGGAGTTATAAAGATTTTCTATATTAACTTTTAAAATGTATATACATCTGAAATGATTTTGCACCATATGCTCGTGCATGTTATACAAGCACTGAAGATGCCAATCAAATGCTCACATTTATACAGCTGTACACAATTAGCACATACTTCAGGGTTTTTTTAATCACTTGTACTACTTAAGACGTGTTATATGAAAACCCCACTTTCCTCCTAGCACTGTTACTTTCTCTCCAGCATGATGCTGAACGTTGTAATGTACCAGTGTTCCAGTTAAGCCCTGAAGTGGGCATTTATGCTGATGGAGCTGATTTCTTATTGATTCCATGTAAAACCAAAGCACTTTTAGTTATTAATAGGGACCTGCTTAAGTCTCAGTGAGACAACGGATGTTTCATGGCCCACTCATGACGTGCAGAGCTGATTTCACAGGCATTTTGTGCTGCCCCCATCCCTAGCCAATGATTGGTAGAGAAGCCCTGGTGGCCCAATCCCTCACTGTTGACTGGTGGAGGGAACTTTCACTCAGTCTGTCACTACTGTTTGTTTGCCCCACCCATTGCTGCTGATTGGCAGAGGGTGCCTTCACTTAGTCTGATATTACCACTTCTTTTTTGGTTGATTTCATGGGAAATCACAACCAATGCCAAATTTCCTGGGCAATTGCAGTGATTGTGGACAACGTCATTTTTTTTTGTGGTTTCTGCAAAATCCATGACACTGTGATTTAGGTAGGTCCCTAGTTATTAACATTCTGATGATGCTTTTAATAAGGGTTAATATCACAGTCCTAAAGAAAATACTGGTTTGGGAAATTCCAGTTTATCTGAATACATTTTTCTGAGAAGATGGATGTACAGGCAGTCCTCAGACTTACAATACAGTTGGTTCCTGAAAACCACATCTTAAGTCGAAACGTTGTAACTCAGAATTGATTTTTCCCATAGGAAACAATGTTATAAATGAGAGATTGGTTCCTGAACCAAGGCCTGATACCCTATTTTCACCAAAAATGCCCCAGAATTTTGTACTCAATCAATTATAGATGAGTAATATAGCTACATTGATATATTTATATTGTAAATAGCAATCATATTGATGTAGAAGGACTTCTTTGAGGTGGCTTTGCTGGATGTTTTGAAGGGCTCTTGGTTGGACTTTTTGAAGGGTTCTTGACTGGAGTCTTCTCAGGAGTCTTGGCTGCAGGTTTTTCTGGAGTCTTGTCTGCTTTCTTAAAGAAAGCGTCCAAGGAAGTTTGGACAGATGTTCTCCAGGGAGATGAGTGGCGCAGTGAACTGGTTCGCTGGTGTGGCTTGGCGTCAGATCAAGTGTTGTAAAGGTGAAATCGATGTCAGAAAGTTGAAACAGGGTGTCAATTTATAAACGTCATAAGTGGGAACGTTGTAACTCGAAACATTGTAAGTCGAGGACTGCCTGTACTTTATTAAGGCTAAAGAAACAGCTGTAGTGAGACAGTTTTCTGATTGGAGCAGTTTTCCCTCTGGAGAGCATAGGTTTCTGTGAAATGTTTCCATTGCACCCAATCACTTGGTTTCATCCAGACACTGTGTGAGAAATGGTTCCTGTTTCATTTGATTTCATCATTTGACTTGCTGTATTTACAACATATAAAGGCAAAGTATTTTAACCAGAATATAATACGATACTAAAGTTTGAAGTGATGACTTTGGAATGAAACTTTTTGACTCTCTTAATGTTTTGAAATATTCCATTATCAAGAAATACAGGGATTACAAATTTGCTTTCCTATTCCAGATTAAACCATTTTTAAGCCTCAATTTCCCACAGGAGGAAAATTTTGTTTTCCAACCAGTTTTTCTCTTAATGCTGTCTCCTACAAAGTGCAGTCATGGCTGTGGTCTGCCCAAGTGCCTCATCTAAAGTTGACCTGGCACAAATTGTTCTTTAGTAGTTGCAACAACAGTATTTTAGGAAAGCAGAATATAGACAGTGGGGAATCACATTTGTGTGTGTGAAAATCTGATTATCCTTCTGCAAGAGAAAGATGGGTATGGGTATGAATGCTTCAATAGGAATGAAGGCTTTTGGTTTTTGGCAGTATGATGGCAGCTAGGATATAATTGGATGTGATGGGTTGCTATACTGATATGCATTTTGTCCTAACCTGAAGATGGGAGGCACTAGTAGACTATTGGATATGGTGATGGTCTCAATTTATAGCTTTCCAGGCTGGATGAGATATACTGCTGTCACCTCCTACAGTGAAATCTGAATTCTAATGTTTGTGGTTCCAACATAGCATCTGAACATTTTCCTTCAAAATCTAATTTTAGGTTGTAGACAGTCTGGTTAATCTGAGTTATATTTACTCAGTCTGTCCTCTTGTAGGAAAATTGTCTCAGAGATTTCAACTGCAGCCAGTTGAACTTGACCAAATTGCCTGCATCAGGGGAACTTGGGCTATATTTGGAAGAAATAGTGTTAGATCCCCTTTTCCTGAGTGTAGACCACTGAACTTATATGGAGGGCTTCAGAACACAGCCTGACTATGGATTCTTGTTGTTCACAACCACAGAAGGCTAGATGGAAATTTGAATAGTGTTTGATCCCTTTTAAGTAAGCATTTGTTCAGCTTCTGCTCCAAAGCCATGATTCAGACAGTCTTTCCGATTACCTGTCAGTCTAATCTCTTGATCTATTAAGACTAAAGAAACGGCTGTAGTGAGACAATCCAAGTCAAGGTATCTTGAACCTCTGATTCCTTAGTCCATATAAATCAGGGTGGGGGACCGACTCAGCTTGTGGCATTGATCACTGGTCAGTGATATGATGATAAATAAAGATTGGATGGCCTCACTGATATTTAATCACAAGTCTATCCCCAATCCTCCATGCTAAGGAAGTGTTAATTTGTCCTCAGATGCCAGCTGGTCTGGGATGGCTTCAGATTCCTTGTATTTTTTATTTATTTTCAAAACCTACCACAACTATAGTGTTGGAAACTTATGCCCCAAGTGCTCTCTCATGAGTGAGGTTCTTTGCTGTTCTCTCTCTATGTTAGAGAGGTAAATCCTGTTTCACCTTTACATATGTAACCCCTTTCTGGAAGTGTGTGGTATGCCTCCTCCAAGTACTGAATATTACCGTATCGAGTACTTTTAATCAAGTTGGGAGTTGCACTGGGAGTTCTTTTGCCAAGTGCCTGGTGCATCCAGTCAGTGTGTGACTCTTTATTGCCACAGGTACATGAGGGGCTGTCCCATGAGAAATCAGTGATGACTATGATCGGGCCTGGACACGGACATGGGTGAACTGGGTGGCTGCCCATGGCTCAGACAGAAAGCGGGCCTGAAAATGAAAAAAAAAAAATACAATTACATTATCTCTGGCAAAGGGGAGGCCTGATACTAAAAGTTTGCCTGCAGCTGCCAGGAGTCTAGGTATTGCACTGATGATGATGATACCTGCTGGGGAGGAGTGTTGTGAAGCTCAGTATATAGGGGACAACAAAATAAATAAGCAAGTTCCAGCCAAGGAATAGAATTTCTAAAATAACAGCACTGTAAATGGGGGAGCTTTATTGTTCACAGGACCCTATAGGATATGGAGAAGGAAGGAGCTAATGTTAGTTATCTATTAATAAATGTTAAGGCAATTCCTCATCTCCCAAATGTTCTCAGATCTTTCAAATTTCCCATGGGGATGGTGCAGCTGGGCTGCACATTCAGAGATGGAATGTTTCAGGGCTGTGGAGTTGGCTAGCTTAAACAAAAGTAATTTTATTCTGAAATGATTGTGTGAGTCTGTTGGACTTCCCAGTTTCCCTCATCTGGAATTCTTGTGGGATCTTAGCTGGCTGTTAGCAGCTCCCTCTAGGTTAGATCTCTTTCTCAGTGAAAGTTGTAATACAAGAGTCTCAGGGTAGAACAAACTTCCTTTGAGGTGATAGAAATAGCAGAGGGTCTCTAAGGGCTAGGAACAGATGTTGTATTTTCCCTGGACAAGTTGTGCCTGTGTTTGTCCTAGAACAGAAATATCCCAGGATTGGAGTGTATACACATCACCTTTCTAATCAGGGTTTGGTGAGGGGCTGAATACACTGCTGCTTTACTGCCATTGATTCAATGATGCAATCCTGGGAGAACATTGTACTTTGCAGTGTCCTTGGATAAACTGTTAGTGCTTCTTATCCTGTGAACCTTTCTGGGTTTATCACAGGACAATGGTCATGGAGATCTGAACAGTTGCATATTGTTCCAGGGTAGAATGATTTATCCCAGGACAAATGTGACCTGTGTTTGTAGCCTAAATTATACCAACACTCTCCCCCATACTTCCATCAGGCTGTTTCCTCCTTCCTGGCATTCATTGGTCCACTAGACTGCTCATGCAGAAGCCATCCTTACTAGCTGCTGTGAGGTTCATTTCTTCTCTTCCTACTACACCTGCTTTCAAGCATCCTAGGAATGGATCAGAGTGCTCTGCCAATCCTCTTAGCAGGAGTCCTTTGATATGGGCTATCTGGGTGCTCAGACTGGAGCTCCAGGAGCTAGGTAACCCAGGAAGGTTTATGTGTACTTGTATTATACAAAGTTAGGCAATGAATACTGTAGATCGCAAATCTATTGCAAATTGTTACTCTTTGCTCCCTTGCAATAATGCCTTGTTTTCTTCTTATTGTTACAGGGGTAAAGATCAGCAGCTTGCTTGGCAAAAAGGGAAACCTGGAGAAACTGCAGAGTTTCTGGGAAGTAGGATTTTTCTTAGGGGCCAGTATGCTGGCCAATGACCACCTAAGAGTGATTCAGGCTTCAGAAAAGCTTTTTAAGCTAAAGACACCAGCATGGTAAGGCAAATATGCAAGATCTGATGGTTTTGAACACTCCTGTATGTTAATAAGTTTTTTAATTTAGCTTCTTCAGATTTAATACAATGCTATGTGTAACAATGATTCCAGCCTGTAGGTAAATTTTCATACTGAGTGCTATTAATTATCTAAAAACAAATGTAACAATTATTTTGTGATGTGTTTTTGCCCTGTGAAAATGCTGCACATGAATTGGAAAGAAAAGAATATATCCTTTTAAAAACCGTGCCTTTGAGTGCAAAATCAGGTCAGCATATAATTTGTGTTTTGTTTTCCTTCACATACCCAAAACCACTCAGTGTGAGCATGCCAACAGCACTCCTAAACCATAAGCCACACCGGATCTCTTCAGAGCCAGTTAAAAATGGATGGTTCAGAAAATTTAAATCTATTGCCAGTAGGGAGGAATACATGTAGATTGAATCAAGGAATTTTAAAATGTTGAGACGGCTGCAAGGACTAACAATGATCCCACTTCTCAGGAGAGATCTTTCTCAACAGCAGTTCTCTCTCTGCCCCCAAATCTTCTAATAATTTTAGAATCTTCAGGGTTTCAGAACAGGTTTGTATTCAAATGTACCTCAGGAGACATCCCTTCTGTGGCTACAGATGCATTCAGTTAAGCTGCATCTTGCCCCTACACATGTACAAGTGGGCAGTGGGGGAGTAAGGTTTGCCTCCCTCTTCTCCACATCCTTGGTCAGGGGCCAGGTGTGATATATCCCTTTTAGTTCCATGATTGACTGATAAGAGCTAGCACATGGTTGGTTTTAAAGGTGTGATGAGGGAGTAAGGTCACCTGAAATTCACTTGCTTTATATAGCAACTTCTTTTTTTTTGTTTGTTTTGACCCAAAGAAATGAAGGGAGGAATCGGAAAACACCTGGGTTCTAATTGCAAAACTCTGTAGCTGCTTCTGCATTTGTATTGCTTTTGGTTTATGAGGGAGCCTGTGGGTGCATCTACACATGCAAATAAGGTGAAGTGATAAACTCCAGAGCACTTGGAGGTGGATTACACTGTTCCTGGGTGCAGTATCTATATGTGTGTCCAGGACAGCAGCACTTTGAGCCATGGCAGAGCAGGCCCAGGCTAGGAGCAGACTTGGGTTGTGGGGCGGGGATCAACCCTGGGCTCTAGGTGGAGGTGTCAGGCAGTGGAGGGGCTGGCCAGAGCATGAAAGCATTGAATGTGCAAAGCTGTGGTCTCGTGCCCAGCCCTGCTGCCTGGGCTGCCCGGGCACAATTTATGCCTGCTGTAACCGTATTCACGAGCATTTGATTGCAGTTCATTACTCCACCATAAGATAGTAGTGTCCACAACAGTACTATCTTACGGCAGAGTTCATTAATTTACTGTGCCCTAATATTAGTGGACGTGTAGATGGTGACACTTTACTGCAGACCTAATTAGTCAACTGCACTAAAGCACATGTGTAGATGCACCCTGTATGGAGCAGCTCAGTATGTTTGCGGGCTGTGCTGCCTGGCACCGTAGATTTACTACGTAACTATGCCCTGTGTCTCTACACAAACGTAGATTTTAGAGTAGCACAACCCCTCTAAAAGGGATAGAAACCCCCAGGAATAGAATATGGCAATTGCTAGGCATGCTTGGTAGCTGTCTCTGAAGAGATATAGGGAGGTTTTAATGTGGGCAAGACATCGGTTAGGTCATATGTTACCCTCAGAGAGCAATGCTAATTGAAGTGGAATTAACGGAAAGGTCATAAATATAGGCGTGATAGACAGTCCCTAGCTGCAGACAGGACTGCAGCTAATCTGCACAAGACTAACAGAGGCATCTGCTATAAGGGTTGAGTCCCATTTCCTGAATCATTTTGGCTTCAGGCTACAGACTTCTGTGTCACTGGTAGCAGAGGGCCAGAATGCTGCTCACTGTGGAGACCCCATAGCATTTGTTCAAAGGATTCTGAAGGTTTTGGGAAAAGAAGATTGAGATGCTAGCATTCTTCTAAAGCTCTGAAGAGTCTAGATCAGTGCTTCTCTACCAGGGTGCCACAGCACACTGAGGTACCTTGAAATCCTTTCAGTGGTGCTGCAAACACGATTCACAAGATAAGCCCAGAGATTTCAAATAGGAATTCATGAGGTTAAAAACATTCTGACTTGTTGCTGTGTTCCTTCTGAGCTCTTTGCAACAGAATAATTGCTCTATTATTTTTTGGTAGTCAAAAAACAAGTGAAAAGTAAGAGCTTGCATTTTGTGAGGGGTGCCTCAAGTCTAATAATGGGTGCCTCAAGCTGAATGAGGGATGCCTTGAGTCTAAAAAGGTTAAAAACCACTGGTCTAGATGACCTGTGCACACATGCACGTACACATGCGCAATTTGTTATGGTCACATTTTTAAGACTGAAAATTATCTCTGAAAGAAGATTTGAGAGGAATGTTTTCATGTGCATGTATGAAAGTACAGAAGTGTAAATGCTGTGGTTGAACCTTATTTCCACATATGTAACAATATCAAAGTGCAAATTTCTGTATGGGGAATGCTAGTCACTTGACTGTCTGAGAAATTTGGCTTAAAATGTACATTATTCAAAATACAGGGCCTGTTTGTGTTGCCGTATGTGTATCATTATCCCAAATTTAGCAGCTTTTTTAAAAGAGCAGTTGCATTCATACAAATGACTGAACTGTGGTGACTCCTTGTGGGTATACTGTAAGGGGCTCATTCCGTTCGGCTCTACATGTTTGATGACTGTTGTGTTTAAAAAACAGCTTTGAGGCTAGTGTTAGAAAGGAATCTAGTATGTACAGGTGGCTTGTAGACAGGCAACTCGGTAATTAATTAGTAATTGCACACTTAAAGTATATTTTCATCTTTTTCAATTCATGGTATAAAAACAATATCATAGAGCTTAGTAAATTTGCATTAGGAGGTAATGCACCAAAGAGAGACAGGCATAGGATTTAGTGACAAGAGTAGCACAGCTGTTGTCTTTTTTTACAAAGTGTTGTTGAAATGATCGCTACCGGAGTTATTGTCTATTTATAGTGTAGCTAATTCTAGATCCTGAATCCAGAAGCCTCGTATTTTAAACATCTATGTTAAACAATTCATCTGTGCAGATGTAGCATAGAGGACAAAATAACACAGAATGTTAAAACCATGGACTTTCACCAGATGTTAAATTTGAGGTTAGTCACAAATTTAAAAAGTTTTGATGTGTGATCAGTTTAGTCTCTAGGCGGGGGATTTACCTACATCGAAAAATGATCTCAGTTCTGGATAACTGTTGGGATGTGCCTGGTATAGTGTGGCCTGTGACTCAAGTATATTTTAGATTAGTAATGTAGTTGCCACATATCTGTTTCAAACACAAGGAATTGTAATTGTTACAAGCTATTGTGATGCTGTGTGCTTAGACTGTGATTAAAAATAGTTTGGTTTTTGTTTTGTTTTGTTGTGTTTTCCCAAACTGTATTAAATTTGTTGTCTGCATATGCTTGGCTTAATTTTAGGTACCTCAAGTCTATTGTAGAGACTATTTTGATATATCAGCATTTTAAGAAACTGAATCCAGAACAACATGTAGCCAAACAGGAACTTGTGGACTTCTGGATGGACTTCCTTGTTGAAGCCACAAAGACTGATGTGTCTATAGTTAGATTTCCAGTAAGTGTGTGCTTTTTCATATTTTTTATTAACTGTCTCATTTAACTTGTAATTGTATTCGTTTCCTTTTCATCACAGAGCATGGTTAATATAACTGTTGCTTGCTCATAGCTTGCCAAGAAATTAACTACCTTCCCAGAAGAAATGTATTTGGTTTGCATGTTGTAGTGGTTTTAGTTGATTGCTTTTGGTTACAATGGAGTTGCTTGGTCTGTTTTATAAGAAAGCAGCAAGGGAAAAGCCTAGTTAGAATTTTGTCATTTAGGATGTGCTGCTGCTAGGTATGCTCTTACAGAAACCCTTCTATCCATGCCAGATGATAACAGAGTGATTAAGTTATGCTTTGAGGAAAGGCGTTTTCTTTCTCTCATATCAGATGCTAGCAATTCATTAGTAGGCTTGGCATACGTGACTCGGAATCCTTTGCAGTTAATGAAGTTCATTTATTCTCTGTCACAGATCATAAGGGAGCCTTAGTAGCTGAAAACATACTACTTCTGGTATTAGACAATAAATCTCAACCATACTGGATAATTTGTATTCAAATGTTTCCTTGAAAAAAATAGTGCAAGAACCCTGCTAGTTTTTATTTTGCTAAATTGTTTTCTATATAATGAATATAGTTATACTAGGGTAGAGGTTGCTGGAAAAATATAGTAAACAGATTCTTGTTATAACCCTTCTTATTTGTATCCTCAGTATTGAGGAGAAATTGGATCTTGGCTACTTTGACGTAACTTTTGACAAAGGCTGTTATTTATTTTCATAATAACTACTGTTGCCACCCAAATACTTGAAGTCCAAATTGGTTGCTTTGTACAGCTCAGTAGGCTGCCAGGTATTGGACCTGGTGTGTAGGTGGCACAGTATACCCCAGGGAAGATCGCACTTTGTCATGCTCAACAGCAAGTGCTCCAGGCGAACCTCTGCAGGGAATGTTGTTCCAGTTTTCTTAATGCAAGAAAAAAGCTGTGAAATGAGGATGGAAGTTCTGGAGAGAGTTAAGGCTGGGAAATATGGAAAATCTTATGGGACTCAAAAGGGATGCCCAGGGAAAACCACTTTCCTCTTTTATTTTTTACTTGTCATGATAATGAAACACTTAAAACCAGTTCTGTTTTCCAGACCGGCCGGATCTAGTTTGCATTTTCATTCAAGTCAAAAACATATCCGGTCAATAATACTCTGTAATGTACTGAATCCATATAGGTGAACGTATGGTTCATGTGACTATTCTAGAACCATCCAGTCAGAGATGTGGATCCATTTCCATCCCAACCACAGTGCAGGCACACACAGTCAAATTATATATTGCTTGGAAAAAGGGAAACAAGAATATAAGAAAGATGGGAAATCTTGAACAGGCATTTTCTTGTCCAATTAATTGTTGTAGTTGTTTTACAAATAAAATGACATTTATAAATAATAAACAGACGACAGAACTAATTGTTTTCACTGCATCTGTGTAATCACTTGTAGCTCAGCTTGTCAATAGGGCTACTTACAGACATTAAACCCTTCCCCCCTAAAACGGCGCTTTACTTCAAACTCAGTGTGTTCCTGCACTGAGTCCAGTGCCTGCCCAGAAGAGGCATTGTGTTAGCTGGACCTGGCTCACCCAACATCTATATAGATAGGGCCTCTTAGTGGGGCTTTTTTGGTGCTTTTATCTAATAACTGATTGAATCAGCTGTTAGATAAAAGTACCAAAAAGTCCCACTGGAGCACCAGATCTATACAGATGCTGCAGAGCTGGGTCGAACTAATGTGTTCTGCTTCCGGTAAAGCATTTTTTTTTTTTCTGTAAGCAGCTGTGGCTCTGAACCTAGGAATTTCAGCACCAATAAACAGTCACTAGCTCACATTTGAAGTATATGTACTGTAATCCCTGTCTAGCCACTAGAGGGAGAAATAACGTTCTTTACAGTTGTGACATACAGAAGGCACAGTTGCCAGAATTCTGCTGCATGAATTTCACTTCAAACTTAAGGTCCAACTCTGTAATGCACCAAGGGCCAGATTTTTTTAAACAGTATTTAGGTACCTTAAGAGAGGTGTGCTTAACAGGGTTTTGAAAATCCCAGTAGTCTTCTGTCTTTATCTGAATACTTTAAAAAATCTGAAGTGCTCTCTGTCATCTTTGGAGTACTTTCAGCTCACAAGGAAGTATGCAGAAATTGATTCATTATGGATCTTTCTAAGAATTTCCATTTAAGTAATTTTGTTTCTTTAAGCGATTTAAGGGACTTTCTGAGGGTCTTTAAGGCCTAAACATAAGAGAATAATTTCCTACCTCCTTTCCCCACCCCCCCATCCTTCCTATTATTCTGTCCCAGACTTTCTGAATGCTGAGTTAGTTGCAGGCTTTATCTCAGTAGGTCCAATTTGCTTTCACAGGGCTCTGCAATATCACTTTGTTGTATGCAAATAGTCCCTGCCTTCTGAAATGCAATCCATATTTATTTACTGAAGTAATTTGAAACATTCAAGGAAAAACATGGCAAGCAGTTGCAAATAAGTGCCCAACAAATGATAAATGCTGATCCTGAAGATTTCAGCGCTTATATTTTTTGGGGGGGAAAGGGTAAGCATTGTGCTCTGATGCCCCTTCTATCTGAAATAGATGGATATTTGCAGCATTTCTGTAATATTTCAATAATTTTAACACATTTCAGCTAGTCTTTAGGGGACATCTTTGCAATACAGATTTCATAGATTTCATAGACATTAGGGCTGGAAGGGACCTCGGAAGATCATCGAGTCCAGCCCCCTGCCCAAAGGGCAGGAAGTCAGCTGGGGTCACAGGATCCCAGCAAGATAAGCATCCAATTTGCTCTTGAAGGTGTTCAATGTAGGCGCTTGAACCACCTCCGGTGGCAGGCTGTTCCAGACCTTGGGGGCTCGGACAGTAAAGAAATTCTTCCTTATGTCCAGCCTGAAACGGTCTTGTAGTAGTTTATGACCGTTCGACCTAGTCGTCATCCCTTGGGGCGCTCTGGTGAACAAACATTCCCCCAGATACTGGTGGTCACCCCTGCTAAACTTATAGGTGGCCATCAGATCACCCCTGAGCCTGTGCTTTTCCCGGCTAAAGAGCCCCAGGGCTCTCAGCCTGTCATCATAGGGTCTGCTTTCCTGACCTCTGATCATGCGCATGGCTCTTCTCTGGACTCTCTCAAGCTTCTCCACATCCTTTTTGAATTGTGGAGCCCAAAACTGGACGCAGTACTCCAGCTGTGGCCTCACCAAGGCCGAGTACAAGGGGAGAATGACGTCCCGGGATTTGCTTGAGAAGCATCTATGGATGCAAGCCAGCTTTTTGGTCGCTTTACTAGCCACAGCATCGCACTGCAGGCTCATGTTCATCTTGTGGTCAATGATGACCCCCAAGTCTCTTTCTTGCATAGTGCTAGCCAACATAGCACTGCTGAGCCTATTCAAGGAAACCTAGAAAAATTGGAGCATTGGACCAAAAGAGATCTCACGAGGTTCAATGAGGAAACGCGCAGTCTTGCACTTAGGGCAGAATAAACCCGTGCACCGGTACAGGCTGCGGGCTGACGGGCTAAGCAGCAGCTCTGCAGAAAAGGGCCTGGGGGGTGACAGTGAACAATAAGCTGAATATGAGGCAAGTGTGCCCTTGTTGTGAAGGCAGCTAATGGCATACTGGACTGCATTGATCACAGGAAGTAATTCTTCCCCTTTATTCAGCCCTGGTGAGGCCACATCTGGTGTATTATGTCCGGTTTTGGGCATCCCACTACAGAATGGATGTAGACAAATGGGAGAGTCCAGTGGAGAGTAACAAAAATGGTTAGAGGGCTGAGGCACATGATTTATGAGGACAGGCTGAGGAAACTGGGTTTATTTAGTCTGGAGAAGGGAAGACTGAGGGGGGATTTACTAGTAGCTTCAACTACTTAACAGGTGGTTACAAAGAGGATGGAGCTGGACTGCTCCCAGTGGGGGCAGATGACAGAATAAGCAGCAATGGTCTCAACCTGCGGCAAGGAAAGTTTAGGTTGGATATTAGGAAAAAAATTCTTACTTCGCCAGCTCCTTAAGTACCCTGGGGTGTAGATTGTCAGGGCCGGCTGACTTGAAGGTGTCCAGATCACAAGAGGTGCCTATACACGTCAGTGACGCTGCTTCCATGCACTGTAATTACAGTGTGTTGGAGCAGATTCGATTATTAGAGTCTGCTGGAACTCAGTGATCATTACCGTGCTCCAGCAGATTCTGGCATCTCGTGTATTAGCATTCCTGTGCTGAAAAATGGCACCCGCTCCCGAAGCACATGTATAAATGCCCAAGAAGAGTATAAATAAAATAGAATTCCAGTTATCTCCAATACTTACAAGCATCTGTAAAATGAAAAACAAAGCCCTATATGGGGGTTAATGCAGACTTAAAGGTTGTCAAAATCTTTTGAAATTCAGTTTTAAAATAAAAATCAATAATATCAGTTTCTACATACATATTCTACAGTTTCTACTGGACTGATATTCTCCTTTTATTGGCCCTGAAGTAAAACAGGAAGGTACTTTGGCTAGTCATCACTTTAGCATATATGGCAGGTTAGACCCAATGTTGCTGAATTGGATCCCATCTCTTTTGGGTTATTCTTCCAGATCTTGCTGCCCTTTCTTCTGAAATTTTTTCAATAAGCACTTACTGTCAGCCTGAGCCTCTTGCAGGGCTGTTTCTGGTTCTGTATTTTGTGTATCATTCTGCATACCAAATGTCACTGCTACACCTCATGGTAGTCTACTTTAAAAACAGTTCAGGCTAGCTCCAGAGTAAAGTTGTTTCCCCCATCTCATCTGAAGCATCTGATGAAGTAGGCTATTGCCTACAAAAGATTATGCCTCATTGAACCAAGGTGCCATCCTGCTCTGCCTTCTGCTTGGCTTCAGATTAACATGGCTAACTATCCCTGTCTCTCTTTTGAGCTGCCCAACTGCTCGTTTCCTGAACTCTAACAAAAACATAACCTGCCATTCTCACTCGAGAGTAAACATCCCAGTGTACTTTCAGCTGAATCAAAAGCTTAAAGGATATTCTTAGCCCGGCAGTAGACACAGAAGGCATTGGAACCTTGAACAATCAGGACTTATATCTACACAGGAGAAAAACAGATAAAAAAGAAGCAATGACCTACAACTGGCATTTCAGGCCAGCAAGCTAGTCTTATTGTTCTACCAGAAGTTTTACCCTTTTCCCCTGGTGCTTAGTCATATAGTAGACTTTTAGAAATGATTTTAAGTGAGTGCATACTTTTTTAATTCCATGAATCTTTTAATGAGTTTTATTTCCTTCTACCCTAAGGTTTTAATATTGGAACCAACAAAAGTCTATCAGCCTTCATATCTCTCCATCAACAGTGAAGCTGAAGAGAAGACCATATCAATCTGGCATGTGCTTCCTGAGGACAAGGTAAATTATTACACTTGCCTTTTAGGATGAGAAGTGTAAGTACTCGCACACAAAATGGTGTCTGCCTTATAAATAACATTCTAAGCAGTCACTTCTAACTGTTGATTACACAGATGGAAAACCTATTTATAGTATGTAAAACATGTTTTATTTGTATGCATTGTTGGGCTTTGCTTAATTTGAAGACTGTCCTTTATGGTTTGGGTGTCAGTGAGGACATTCCAGGCTTGTCTCCAGCAGCTGCTATTGAGAACGCTGCAGATCCAGGTCTCAAGAACAAGTACTGGGGACAAGGTCAGAGCCCAGCCACACTGGCAGACTTCTGGGTGTAGACTATACCTGTAAGTACAGGTGGGTGGAGGCTGGGTAGGGCATGTCCAAGACCCTCATTGCTGGGGTGCATCATCACCATGGTGTTTGCGTGCCAGAAGTGCTTCCAGCTTGCACTTACTCATTGGTTAGGTTTGCAATCTTGATGGAGACTGTAAATATTAAGGGAGAGTGAGTAAAAGTCCATGTCTTGAAATAGTAGTGAAGGAAGTCAGGAGCTAAAAGAGAAGGTGGTCAGGAGGACAGTGAGAGAAGTGTAGGAGCATGTCTACATCACATCAGCCGTAGGGTATCTGAGCCAGAACGGCCCCAATTGCACCTGCCCATCCACTCCTGTTCCCACACTTGAAACCCAGAGCTACACTGGTGAAGATGGCCCATGGTCATCCCCAACAACCACTCTCAAGCAAACTAGAGATAAAGGTCCAGCGAGGAGCCACAAAGGGATGCCCCAGAGTGACTTCTTAACTACAAAGAATCAGAGCTGATGACATCTCTGATGACATTTCTTTGTTTGCAGAGTAGGCCAGTGAAGAATTGTTTTCTGGAACCAATCTAACTTGTGTTTTTGTGCACTTTATAATGGAAATAATTCTAGTATGCTTCTTTTCCCTCTTATTTCATATATTTTACTTTTCCCCTTTCAAGAACTTTGTGAAGAACATCTGGGGGACTAGTGTTTAGGCATTTGCTTATTGGATCATGGGGAAAATTAATCCAAGAAATGGCAAAAATAGTTCATTCTGAAGATAATTTCCTGAGTTGTATCAAGACTGTTGAATTCCTGTTTGTTCAACTTTGATTGGCATTGTTCAAGATAGACGCCATTTTCCAGTATACATAACTTTGTACTTTCTTTCAGGAAAAGACCAAAATATACTTGCTATGCAATTTGTAAATAATACTATATGATGGTGCTTCTGAGTACCATAAAATACCTTAGTACTATAAACTACCTGCTCTGGGAGAGTGCTATAACTTATTTCCTATTTGGAAATATCTTGGTATCCCTGAGCATGTGATTATTAGTAATATACTCTCAAACAATCTGTTCTGCTCTCTTAGGTGGCTTATCTTGCATTTAGTAAGGAACATTGAACTGGAAAGGACCTCCTGGGTTGCTTAGTCCAGTTCTCCGTTATCACAGACAATCGCATCACATCATATAATCTCTCTCATGAACTGAGCTCCGTACGCAAACTAGTTGAATGAGGGTTGAGATGATGCTCCAACATGGAGTGGCTTCAGTTACTTGTCTGTCCTGTGGGATGTCCTGTTAGCATACCCAAACAACCTTACATATGTTCTGTAGGGACATAATCAGAAGTTGTGTTTAAGGTTTTGTGTTTGTGCTTTCGGTTATTTTAACAGATTTTTAAAGACCATTTTTCCCTGCATGGCAAGTTTTGAAGATTGTGATTTCATTATTTGGGACAAAGACAACAGAGTTGTACTAAACTTCTTAAAGAAGCCTGGTGTTATATTAATATTACTTGATGGATGGATTTACTTGTAAATCCTTAGAAAATGTGTTATGTAAGAATACACACAGTGTGTGTTAAGGCATATACGCTTTGTTTTTCCATGTAGAACAAAAGGATTGAATTTCTGCTTTAAATACAAAGCAGAACCCAGTTTTAAATCTGCAGTAGATGACTCCGTAATGAGAAAAGTGCTCATGATCTGGTCCATTATAAACAGCTCGTCCTCCTCCCTTTTCACAGATGTTAGTACACTCCACTACTTACACAAATTTTTAGTTAAACTTAAGATAAAACTTGAAATGGGAAATACTTATAAAAGAGACGTGATATTCTTCACTACCTTTTCTGCCATATGCAGCTTGCAATTGCTTTGCAGTTTCCTAAATATAGCAATCTTTTCCCATATGTTTTAGAGCAGTTCTGCAGTCCTGTTTGTCATTATGAAACAAAGTAGCCAAGCTGCCTCTGTTTTACGTTGGCTTCCAAATCCATTTTGCAGTTTTTTTCCCCACTAACCGAAGAGCAGATGCTAGAGTTGGACAGTGCTTCTGGTATGTTTACTCCAGTGTGTTTAAAACTTGGCAGGATTACAAGGAACACAGCTTGTCGTGAACATGATCTGGTAAATGAAAAAGGCTGTTTGAATCTGAGAGAGTCATCTTCTGTAAACTGTAATGCTGTAGCACATGCTACTTAAGGTTCTCGTGTTTCTTAACTACTTTATTGTATCTAGAGCAGGGGTCAGAAGCCTTCAGGCTGAACTGACCCATGTCAGGTCAGAGGTGGGCTGGTGCATGTCAGACAGGTGCTAGGATACAGCTGCCAGCACTGCTCTGCCCAGCAGCTGCACAGGAAAAACACCTAGCGCCATCACTTTTCCCCACAGCAGCATGAGGAAAGCAAATGCTGCCAAAGCTCCCCCATCTCTGCAGAGAAATGCCAAGGACATTATACACATCCTGCAGGAAAGGGATGGGAAAGTGGCGGTGCCAGGTGCCATCCCTGTATATCCGTGAAAGTAATGGTGGCAGTGGCTAGGTCCTAGCACCTACCTACCACACACCTGCCCATTTCTGACCCAAACTGGATCTATCTGGCTACTAAAGCCCCATGTCCACATGTTGGATCAAATGTCTTAGCAGACTGGATCCAGCCTGTGGGCTGTAGGGTTGCTGAACCTTGGTCTAGAGTGATTCTTTCTGAGTATTCAAGGGTCAAATTAGGGATTGGCCATGTACTAGGAACTAGAAGGCACTCAGGAGAGTGTTCCCAAGCATGGAGAATGAGGCGGCGGCTGAATTTGCTGTAAGAAGAGGGTAATGAAAATTTTCAAGGATATTTTTCACTATTGCAGAGGACTAGTGAAACTGGCAATTCGGTCAACTCGTGTATGGGGCATAATTTCAAGCGGCAAAGCATAGCTGAATAAGTATTCCAGCAAAATAGATCTTGAGAAGTAGGAAAGTCATTTTGCCTGGATGCTCGATTTAGGAGAAAAGCATAGCATGACTGGCACTATATCAGATACTGTTGATTTATTTGAGAATCCCTGTTCTTGCTAATTGTTCAGATCTAATACTGCCCTCTTAAGGTTTGCCAGACTGTTAATGATGCCAAGGTATTTATGCCTTTCCAGTTTGGATATTAAGATTTAGCTCTTAAAGTAGGGCTGACAGAAAACGTACTTTGTAACATACTTAAATTGGCAAAATCCACATATAAAGGAAAATTTGTGAACATTTATACAGAGAGAGTACCTAAAAATATCAGTCAAGCCAGGTTCCCTTGTGTTGAGGATTATACAAACATATAATAAATAATAATCCCTCTGGTCTGGTTTCCCCCAATCCTCACTTAACCTGAAAGC